TCTGAGTTTGCTTCCCCTGTCGCGAGTTCGGATCACTTAGTGATGATATATATACCTAAATAATCTGTGGAACCTCAGCTTTAATCGGATATCTTGTATGTGCGGCTACGATAAGTAATAAGGGTATCTTTATCTTGAGTTCTGTGCCAAAGTGTGTTAGCATTTTTCGCTCAGGGGTCATTTAGATGCTTCTTATGAGACTTGTGTTTTGTTTTGGTAAAAATGGTTTGTATCGTCAGTTAGCTGAGATTCTTCCCGTTAACCTGGTATAACACATTAATAGGTTCTTAAATATGAAGATGCCCTGAGACACAGTGTCGTGAAAAAAACAAAGCCCCCGCCGAGGGGGGACCTTGGGGCTTAACAGGTTAAAGTTTCCTCTTCTCTGGAATCCATCGATCTGATTGATTATTAGCGGAACAAATGATCAAAATAGTCCGGAGGGGAAATATTTTCGTTTGGATTACTGGTCTGGGGTTTGTGTGTTTGTGTATTTTTGCGTATGTGTGTAGGCCTATTGTTTAAATAAAAGTTTCATATTCTGAAAGCCAAGACTTTGTTTATTTAAAATCAATCAAAACACCCGAACCCCAAATAACTAGTTTTTTACGCATATCTACGTTTATTTTGAAATGAGCCGTTGCGAATTCCGACTGATTTCGATAGAGCGGGTCACATATTGCTAGATCGTCTAGAAAACTGGGTGGGAGTTTCAGCAACAGCTCTAAATTGGTTTAGTTCCTACTTAAAGGACAGAAAAAATGTTGTCTCAATAGGCAACAGGGTTCCTCAAGGCTCCATATTAGGACCTTTGCTTTTGAATATCTATACCACTGGCTCAAATTATTAAAAACAACGATCTAAGCTATCATATCTATCCAGAAGACACCCAGATTTATTTTTAAATTACACCAGGAGACTATTCTCCGATTACAACACTGAGTAAGTGCATTGAGCACATCAATGACTGGATGACTCAGAACTTTCTCCAATTGAACAAACAAAAAACTGAGATCATTGTTTTTGGAGCAATGGAGGAACAAATAAAAGTAATCGCAGAGCTTCAGTCTGCAGACTACAAAACAACTAATAAAGCTAGAAATCTAGGTGTAGTCATGGACTCTGACCTGAATTTTAACAGTCAAATTACAACAGTTATTAAGTCTGCATACTATCACCTGAAGAATATATCAAGGATTAAAAAACTAATGTCACAACAGGATTTAGAAAAGCTTGTCCATGCTTTTATCTTCAGTAGACTTGACTACTGCAATAGTGTATTCACAGGGCTGACAAAAAAATCCATCTGAAAGCTGCAGCTGATTCAGAACGCTGCTGCTCGTGTCCTCACTAACATTAAAAGAGTGGATCACATCAGTCCGGTTCTGAAATCTTTACACTGGATTCCAGTCGACCAAAGAATTTATTTTAAAGTATTATTGCTAGTTTTTAAATCACTAAATGGTTTAGGACCAAAGTATATTAACGATCTCCTGCATAATTATGAACCATCAAGGTGTCTCAGGTCTTCTGGGACGGGTCTGCTCTGCAGAGTAAGAACAAAACATGGAAAAGCAGCGTTTAGCTATTATGCCCCCACAATCTGGAACAAACTGCCCGAAACATGCACGTCCGCAGAAACTCTTACTATTTTCAAATCGAGACTGAAAACATATCTTTTTGCCGCTGCTTTTGATTGAGCTGTTCATATTCGCACTGCAGTATGCCATTTAAACATGTATTGTATACATGTTGTGTTTATTTTATTATCTTTACTTTTTAAATGCCTGTTGTAAAATGCCATTATATAATGTGTTTCTGCTGTATTTATTCTTAAATGTCTTCTATTTTATTTTTGTAAAGCACTTTGAATTTTCGCGTGCTGAAAGGTGCTATATAAATAAACTTGCCTTGACACTGATACCTTGTATCCTTACAGACTAAGATACTGAATATGACTACAAAACTACCGTAACAATTTCTGGAGGTTTGTGTTTGTCTTTTATTTAACACCTTTCTACATCAACCTCGATGCTGTAGCTCATCTAATTGAGTTTATAAGGTAGGAAGGTTAACTAAATATCACAATGTGGTGGAAAATAAATCTTTCAAAATAGGAGACTTCGCTCTAGACTAAAATCTCTGTCTTAAAATGCTGATTTCTGTGCCAGTTAAAACTCACAGCATGGTTGTTTGTTGAGAAACACAATAGGCAAATCTCACAGATGAAATAAATAATATATATTTAACACTGCAGTGCACAATTTACCAAGCTAATGCAAGGATGGTTGGGTACAGAGCTCTTAAGGCGCAGGTGAAAAGTTGTTGTTTTATTAATCATGTTATGATGCTACTATGGCTGTAAGGATAAAAGGATAAAACCTTGGATAAACAGAGCCTTGTGTTTTTGCTTATCTTTGCATTGCTCGTTCTCTTGTATGGTTATTGGTGTGTAAGTTCTTTGAGATAATGAACAGGTCAAATCCTTGAATGTGTTCATTTGGTTTTCCAATTAGTAGACAGTGGACAATGCTTCAAATAAGGCAGTTGCTGCAAAGAGGCTACATATTGAAAATATGTCCACTTCACACAAATCTTCAGCCCTACAGCGGGGGGGATCCATACAATCAATATTCTCCAGGTGGGAACACAAGGGCAGTGTCTCTAATTCAGTTTACAACCAAATGTGAAATATAGCCACAATCTCCCCTGCTCCTGAGTTATGGCGTTGAAAAGTGTTTTAGCAAACCATTATTGTCACGATCTGTCTGTGTTGTGTTTTGTCTTGTCTTTTTCTGTCTTTGGTTTCTTGTTTTATTTTGAAAAGTGTTCACCTCCTGTCTTGCCTGTTGCTTTCTGTCTGTTTTTCCTACCTGATTACCCGATTGTGTTCACCTGGTGCCCCTGTGTTTTCTTCTC